CCTATACTTTTACTGAGTTCATAATTTTTGTGTTATATTTGTTACATTTAAGATTACATATGTCACGTTTACCACTACTAAAACAAATTCTAACATGTCAAAATTTAATAAGGAAGTTGAAATTATTTGGTATTCTTCAAAAACTTTGTCCAAGTAGTTGTTCCCCAGATACCAGAATCTGGTTTTATAAGGACTGTTTCAATTTCTTTGGCTCTCCTGCTCAGCAATCTCGATCCTGTAACTAAAATTGCATTATGTTGATTTTAGTAGTTAATCAAAGGCAAATTAAACAAAGTTGTATTGAGAGCAATGTGTGAATATCCTTGAATTCCTCAAAATAAAACAGAGCATTGCCAAAAATCCCACACAGTTAGGTGGAATACACAGAAGAAGGATCATCTGTGTGGAGTCCATGTAAACAGCGAGATTTCCGGAAGGCTCACAATCAATATTCACTGCATTTAAAAGCATGCTCATTATTTGCTTACGACCTTGTAAGGGAAGTTAGATGTAGCAGCTCACGTTGTGATACTGAGGCTGTTGTGATACACCTTAGAAACTTTTTAATCCTTGGCAGCTGAGAGTGTTTCCTTCCATTGCACTTAAATTTGATAGGGTTTAAAATATATTTATTTTCATGAGGAAAAAACAACCTAAAGAATAACTTATTGCTGCTATTTCCATATTTTCATGAGAGACATCAGAAAATAAGTGTGGACAAGACATGTACTTGGGCTGTTGTAAAGAAGCAATTTTGGATTTGAAGTCAGCTGTCAGGATAGCCAAGTACTTCTTGGGAATGAGGAATTAAAAAGTGTGGACTGTCTGGCTGTGCTTTCACAGTTACTTACTTCTGTGCATCTCACCTTCTGTGAGCTCAAAGGGAATCTGAGCATTTTGGGCTTTGAGGCCACAGCAATTCCTCAGGAAAAAAATCAATGCAAAAAAGATACTGGATAGATATTTCAGTACATGGAAAGCTACAATGCAGCTGTGACTCTTTTAAATACAGGTTACCTTCAGAAGCCAGAGATTACAATGCCTTCAGAGCATAGTGAGAAAATATTCCTAAAAGTGGTAGGATTGTCCTAACGTTTGCTCTTTGTGTTGCAAGCATAAGCGTAAATCAAGCGATGGAATTTCTACTTTATTGAAGATTTCTGTGTTCACAGTGAAACCACTTGGCATGGGAGCCACTATATGTGACCTGCATTGGGATATAGATTTCTTGTTGGAAATATGATATGAAAACATGCATGGCAATGTGTCAGAAAAAGGGGGAACAACAAAAAAGGAAGGGATTCTGAAACCAGACAATTAAATACTCTGGGGAGATACGATTAAATAGAAACTACTGTAAATCAAAAATGTTTAATATGCATGCTTATTTGTGAAATCTGGATAAGAACAAGATTTTAAGAAGGCTGTCACCTTTTGGGGAGAGTTCTTGGAGGTACAAAAATATTTCCACAACACAATATATCTAAGTCCTAAATTCTAGCTTCTTTACTACTTCCTTATGAAAAAAGGTTAAAACATTTAAGAGCAATAGTTATATATACATGAATCCAGTGCTGCAAATATGAAACATTGAGGAACCTCTTTTATAAAATGGTGACATAATGAAGTGAAACATTTTGACCTTCTCTAAGCCTGTCTAAAAGTTTAACTTGAAAGTTACTGACTTCTCCTTTGTCCGGCTCCAGGGCTCTCTCTTTAGGATTAGAATTCCCTGGATGAAAAGTAAAGGCACTGACTTAATATGTGTGCTAGTACTGATGCATCATTGCTGGAGCAGTGGAAGATGCAGTGAAAAGGGTTGTAAAAGCTGCCTTTGTAACTGTACCAATAAAGAGAGGAGAGGTAGTGTTTGAACAGGAATCCATCCTAGAGGGGAATTCTCAGTTCTCTAATTTGCCTCCTGGCTAGGCTAAGCAAAACAACCTAACTGTAGTGAAATGAGCTTTTGTGAATGCTCTTAACAGGCCAGAATATTTCAGATACCTGTTCTTTTCAGATATTTGCGACCTTCAGTTGCAGTGGATCTTTACAGTCAGTGCAACACATCAGAAAAATGTACACTACGGTGTCAAAGCTGATGAGTCAATGCTGTATTTTATCTCTGCATGTTCACTGGCATTTTGAATGTTACTTCCAGGTGAGAAACACTTTAGTCAGAGCCACTGCTCTTGGCTTGGCTACAAGATAGCTTAAATCCCAAACAATGGCTGGAGTTCTCAGCTACCTTCCCAGGTCATGTTCCCAGATTTTATTCACAAACATTTCTTTTATTCCACAAGAGGAATTAAACAAAGAAATTCATGGAAGCAAATTCTTCCATCTTTGAGGTTTGGGAAGATGGTAATGAACATATTCTGCCTATGAAACTTTGCATACTTTTTTCCACTTTTGTGTCAACAAAAAGCTAATGTAATTTAATTTTTACAACTTGTAAATTAGCAGTATTGACTGAGCAGCCTTAGAGGAACTATTGCACCCAAAAGTCACATGGCCTCCTAGACACTTCAACAGCACAGTTAAACTTAACCAAATTCATGTAATCACAAGAGAAGCATCTATTCTTGTCTCAGGAGGCAGATCCAAGCTAACTGTGTCTGTCACACTGTTCTTCCTTCTAGCTGCCTTGATGTTGCAGGAAGTCCCCAGTCAAGACTTGACTGAGACCTTTAGTGTTCAGGTCTGCTCTTTCCTGCTTTCTTTCTCCTGGTAGCTGTTCTCACTTCCAGACATCTTTAAATTCTGTTTCCATGAACCTGTCCATTGCTGCATAGGATGTCTGAATCCAACCACAACAAAAGGTGCTTTCACCTTTTGAGTGGCTGATAGTCATTGGAAGTGTCTGAATGCCTTCTCTCATTTTAGGTCTTCTCCCTGATGCTTGCAGCATGACTTGCAGTTTACAAAAACACTGAAGTCCCATTAGCCATGTGCTAAGTTAATACACTTTTGTATCTGAAGATCAGGTAAGATCAGCAGACTTCCTGTTGTGAGGTGCCTCAGGGAGGCAAAGACTTAGTTTCAGATAAGCATTGTACACATAAGAGGCATGGCTGTAAGCCAAGCTAGTGTGAATTTTGACCTCCTGCTTTGAGGGAGGGGCTGTGTGAGCCCTGGATGAAGTTGTCCCACCCTAAACCCCTTGTAAGGGGTGGCCCAGGAGTTCTGATTGGGTTTGAGACCTTGGGGGTCTCTCCCTTGCTGTGTTTCTAGTGGTCCCTGACCCTGAACTCCACCCTAGTTCTGTCCCTCAAAACCCATCACCCTGCCTTTGTTGGGAGCTCTCAGACTCTGAAGGACAGTTTGTTCCCATGCTGAATAAATGGTTTCATCAACAGAGGCCCATCTCGTTGGTATTACATGCTGGTTCCCAGAAAATGTAGCTTCCCTGGACATGATCATGCAGTTTCTGACTACAACAACTTCCTTTTTTCCTAGACTCAGTTTTGGTGGCATGCTAGCTCTGGGAGTGTTCCGAGAGATACTGCAAGTACATCCTCACTCGTCCGTGTTTATGGACTGGATAAGCTTAAGCTGGGTCTGTGTAGTAGCTGGTTACTCTGCTCTTAAACATGTAAATGAAATAGCTACATCTCCAGTATTTTGCCTGACTGTGTTTTGTTACCATTCAGAACCACCTCCCTCAAGCTTACTCCGACCACAATATGAGAGCTGTGCCTAACTTTTGTGCTGCTTTTTTTCTAAATTATTCTCTGGACATGTGGATTGCTTGACTGCGCCCTCCTTTAGGTGCTGTCATATTCTTTCCAGCACTTGAAAACATAAGTATAGTGTAAGGAAGGCTACACAGTGGAGTTATGGCAACTTGGGAACCTGATGAGATTGCACACCACTGAAGTAAGCACAAATGTATCCACTTTTACTGTCTGCCTTAAAAATACCAACCGTACTTGCTGAATCTGCTCTGGTTCTGTATGCCCTAGAGTGTATCTTGCACTATCTTGCTGGCTCTTGAAAATCACACTGCAAAATGTTTGCAAGAGCTTTGTTGCTTTGAAAATTTCTGTACTAAAATAAATGAAGAATTAAACCAACTTTATTATTTTCTGGGTTAGTCTGCAGCTACCCCCTCTTCACTTAAGAGGGGACCACACAACTACTTAAAAATGTCAGGTGACCTCAGCTTTTGGTGTGTCCTACAAATAGCTGGACCAGTTCTGCAGAATATTCATGAATGCCGAGGCAGTTGAAGCAATAGCACTTCTTGTCCAGAAGGTGGTACTGAGAAGGTCCCCTCCAGGAAACTGATGGTCAGGTCCCTTGGAAAGCAGGGACACACAGGTTCACAAACAGTATGCAAGGACACGTATCTGAAAGCTGCAACTTTAACTTGGACTTTTAGAAACAATTTGTCCGTTTGTTGTTGTTTTGGTTTGTTTTTTTTTTTTTTAAAGTACAGAATATTTTATTTTCTCTCTTAGAAATTAAATATATTACTATCTCACATATTTAAATTCGCTTTTAAGAGGAATACTGTACCTGGCCCTGGAGGAAACATTGTTGCTGTTTCTACTTTAAAAAACTAATATATTCCTATGTTAGTAATCTGTCGGTCAGGATATCAGTTTTTAGGATACGCCCCCGAGCTTTTTCAGAGACACTGGAAATAGCCAGGAATAAATCGCAGCTGAGTTTTTAATAGGATCGTGTGCTGCTGCTGCTGCTGCTGCTGATTTGTGACACATCTGTGTGTTTCTGTCGGTTTACTTGTGGTCAGCAACCACAAGCAGCATCCCAGCTGTGAGGTTAGGAGCTACCTCCACCCTCAGCACCTCTGAAAGCCTTACCTCAGGAGGGCTCGGTGCCGACCGGGGAGCCGCGGCTGCCGCTGCTCGGGGGACGCTCATCCCGCCGCTTCCCTCGCCGCGCCCGGCCACGCTTTCGCTTTCACTTCTGCATCTGAGCAGAGTGTTTCCTCACGCTTCTCGTGTGCTGCGAAACTAGCGCAGAGGTGGGATGCTTCCAGACAGAAGTGGATAAAGCGCGCAGAGGTGAGTCGGTAAAATTCTTCACTTCATAGTAATAAATGTGAATATCGAGGTGCAAAGGCAAAGTGCTGCTCAGGAGTTTGGGTGATTTCCTTGATCCTGGATTTCTCTTAACTTGCAAGCTAGCCAAGTCAGTGCCAGTTTTTAAAGTTCTTGCTCATACTGTTAAAACTGTATTTCTTCCTTTTGCCCATCTGAAACGCTGTCTCTGAAGTTTGATAACGGGTATGTGCTTTCTTCACTGGACCCTCAGACAAAGCTTAAACACCTAAAGCTGATTCCGGATTTCTTGCAATGAAAAAACCAGGAAAAGGCAGCCCATTGTGCCTTCCTGGAAGTCACCTGAAGAACCTGTTTTGTGATTGTGCAATACATTTCTTCTGCCTTTCAAGCTTAAAGCTGAGCTGGCAACAATTGCTGCAGAACCCAGCGGCTGTCTGATTACCCTAAAACAACCCCTGAGAATGATGCAGACCAGGATGCAAGCTTCTGCCACAGATAAGCTTCCCTTCTGTTTTCCTTCGTGTTTCCAGCAGTCGAGGTGCAGAGGAAAGAGGTAGGACAAGTGGTCCTTTATTTTCCTCAGCTACATGGACACAGGTGCTGTGTTTGGCGGCAGCTGTGGCAGGCCAGACTGTCTGCAGGACCACCCTGACACATATCATCCAGCAGGGAATTGTTTTTTCATTAAGGTTTATTTTAAACCACCTTTTGTAGACCTTTGTGTGTGAGCCTTTACAATGTTTTATATGTCCCTCTATCCCTTGCTTATATCCCCAGTCCCACTGGATTATACAAATGTCTCAGCTGGCCAGATTGCTCCCAAAAATGCAGCCACGAGGTTCCCCTCTGGCCACTACAGTGCGACTTTCTGTCACTGGAGCAGTCCTAATGCATGACCTCTGAAAAGTCAGGTCAGCTATGGAGTCAAACTCTGCTGGGATCTGACCTGCTAGGCTCCTGCTTGGCTGCAGGTTGCAGTGTCAATTCCTTAAAGTGTTTTGTTATGATAGTGGAAATTTTTCTCTTTAGGAAACATCAATTATGAAGAATTTTTTTTTTTTTTTGGATACAAATGTGCTAGTTTAATTTCTGTTCTCAGTTCTTGTTTCATATTGTTTGCTAAACACAATACTCTAATATGTTCAAAGCTCGATCATGTTAATTAAACACAGGTTCCTAGGTTCCTAGGAAAATGAGAGTTGTAGAAGTAAGAAAGCTTATACTTCCCATGAGTTAGCCTTTTGATGAGCTTTTCTAGCTTCCTGTTAAGTCTAGGCAGGTTTATTCCCATGTACAGCCTGTTATGCACTGGGACAATAATAACCTTCTCTGCCTGGGAGCCCATCCTGCTGAGACTGAACTAATTGGTAAGTTGAGGTTGGTAGGTAGGTTCCAAGTTTGTTGGCAGAAGGCCATACAGATATGTGTGTACCAAGACTGTGGAGACACTTTAAGCATCAGGGTTGAAAGTGTAAGCTTTCTATTTTTTTAAAAAAGAAAATTGAAGACAGAAACCTAAGCTTACTGTCCTCTGCTAAAGCATGAAAAAAACGTTCTGGCAAGCACTCATGAAGTATGTTCTCCCTCTACTAAAGATTAATTCTGTAGAGAATAATCTGGAAGATACAGAGGACTCTTCTTTTGATTAGAATAAATGCCATTTAATTAGACAGGCTCTATGACTCAGAAGGCTAGTCAAACCCTTCTGAGCTCTTACAGCTCTGTTCTGGTCAGAATTTATATGGAAATAATTTTCTTCCTTGTGCAGTAAAGTTTCATTACAAGATCACCAGGTGAATTTAAATCTAATGGATACTAAATGGAAAATGAACAAAATATGAAAAAGCCCAAGATTCATTAGAAACTTAATGACAAAACAGATAGAATCATTGAAAATTAGTTTCAGTGTTGATATCCTAATCTAAATGACCAAAAGTTATGGGGTGGAGTATATAAATTATTAAATGTGTGAGTTCTCCTGAAAGTATTTGGAAAAATACAATGAATCCATGGGCAGTGTCTCCTCTATACCTTGGCTTTTCTCTGTTTTTTTCTCTGATTAGGTTGGTATTGACGTATTTTGTGTGTTCTTACTTTCTCATTTATGTTTCTATAGCCTGGTGTTCCTTCTTTCTTTATAAGATGAAATGACAGAATTCTGTGTGATTGACTTGTATAATAAAAACTGGGAAAAACTGTAAAAGAAAGAAGTGGTATATTATGAATTTTTGCTGCATATAACTATAAATATTTTACATGTAATTAAGCTCAGTGATCAATTACTAACATAGAGAGGCTTATGTACAATTTGTCATATGTAATGTATTTTATGAATGTTGAAGCAATGCAAAATTAATCAGAAAAGAGAAAGTGATTGGAAATTTTCATCAATAATAGATAAAAGTTGGTACCTTTCTGAACATACTTATTTTTATGTAAGATAATATTACTACTTTTAAATAAAAGTCTTTATTTAGATAGATTATTAGACATAGCTGTTCTGCAGAAATAAATGCAGAAAAAAATTCATGAGTTAACAACACCGACTGTTTGCTCACATGTTTTTTAATCCTTGCTTGCTTAGCCTTCAGTTGAAGATGCAAGTCCTGTCAAAATGATTGTAATTTGCAGTGTTCAATTTGCCTTTGCAGATAGAATGATGCAAAACGCTCTTCTTTGGTGGAGCAGCTTATACGTCAGACTGATGTTTGTCTTCTGGCCGTGGGCATCAGCTGGAAAGCAATGTCATATCCAAAATGAAATGGCTGACTGCAGTCACCTAAAGCTGACTCAAATTCCCTCTGATCTTCCAAACAATATAACGAGTTTAGACATTTCTCATAATCAGCTAAGACAGCTAGGTCCTGCAAATCTGACCAAGTACAGCCAGCTGGTTTACTTGAATGCAGGCTACAACAGCATCTCTAAACTGCAACCAGAATTGTGCCGAAATGTGCCCCTCTTGCAGACTCTGAAGTTAGAACATAATGAATTGCACAAGTTCCCTGACAGAGTCTTTGCTTCCTGCACCAACCTGACCGAGCTCAATCTAGGATACAACAGACTAAGTATAAAAAATGATCCTTTTAATACCCTGGAGGTAAGAGTTAGAAATGCATCTTTTCATGTAAATTATAAATGGGGAATTCACTGTATTTTCCAGTGTGTGTACAGAACTGCTGCATTGGTATCTCAAAATACCCAACATATAATCAGCCTTTCACTGAAAAATTAAATTTTTGCTGAAGAAGAGGCCTTGTGGCTTCTTCTTTTATAGCACATTGGAGTCTCAGTCATGTTTGTGAGTTAATGCTCTCCATTCTTCTTTCTGTGATTGCATCCCTTTGAAGCATCTCTCCATGCAGGATATGTGCTGAGTGAACAGCAGCAGCAGGTGATGAGAATAACAGTGAGTTACTCCACTCGATGGGAATAACTTCCACACTGAGCTGCCTGGATAGCTGGTAGCCTAAAGTCTCGAGGTCCAGGTTTAAATATTCAAACCAGGAAGGCCGGTGCTTAGGCTGAATGTAGTGTCTCTCAGGACTTTAAGAACTGAGAAAGAGTGAAAATGCTTTTATTGTACCTTTGCTTTCCCTGGTAGTTTACAGGTGGTTAAATATTCTTGCCTGTAGCAGAGATTGGGACACCACCACAGAAAGCAGGAAAGGATTATTTCACTGTCTTTGCACCAGGCAGGAGTTATGTAAAAAGAAGAACCTAAGGACAAAAAAAGTAAATAAAATGTGTGGCTACTAATTGTCAGTGTTCTGAGTGTGCATGTGGTTTTGAGTAGGTCTGAACTTTTCTGCTAAACTCAGTATTCCAGTTCAGTTACATAAAGGGTACTGTACTTGCACTGTAGGACTGCTGACACAACAAAATACAAGTAAGTACAGCCAGCTTCCATGCTGGGAACTTCACCTTTGTCATTCCATTATGGGGCTGGACCACGCTGAAAAAGCATGGAATGCAATGTTTAATACTGCAATAGTTGTAGGCTTTTGCATATAACACTTTATCTGAGATAGGAGGGCCTTCAGTGAATTAAGGAACTTTATCTACTTTGGTTTGTAGTAGATATTTTATCAGGTTAATACCATTAATACCATGAAAGTTATTGGTGTGAAAGATGCAGAATACTTCTTCCAGCAGGAGCTTGAAAGCTGCCATTTCTCTATTACAAATTAATTTAAAGTGTAGTATTTCAACTAATTTCTAATGAATTATACTCTAATTAAATATTTCTAATTTTTTGTGTATTACATAAAATTTTAAAAATTAATAATTTTATAATTTTTTTCTTGCAACTTCTCTCCAGAACTTGAATATTTTGGACCTATCCCATAATTCCTTGAAGTCAGCCAATTTAGGATTGGAGCAACAGTTGGAGAAACTCCATGAGCTCATGTTGGGTAGCAACCAAATCACTGAGTTGAAAAAAGAAGACTTCAATTTTCTTAGAAACACCTCATTGAATAGTCTTGATTTGTCATCAAATCCACTAAAAGAGGTAGGAAGCATTTCAACAGAAATTCAACAGGTGTAAGTGTAAAATGGAACCATCCTGATTTATCCTTTATGGGTTTATGGCATGTACATTACAATTTTGATCTGCTGAGGTCCAAAACCCATTCTATTTTATGCAGCATCATTCCTGACCTCCAGCAGTGATTTACAGCGTTATTGTTTTGCCACTGAAATCAGCACAGGCTGGTTTCACAGCTTGTTCCATGTAGATCAGAGATCAATCAAGACCTAATTTGGGATGCTCTAAGAATCTTTACCAGGTATTTTCGGTGCAGAACTTGTTTTGATGTGCTGAAGATGAAGGGCTGACACACTTTCTAAGTGGGTAAGAAGTGTGGTACTATGCAAGTCTGGTTATACAATCTAGGTTTCGCTTCCCAGTTAATCAAAGAGTGTTCACTTGTGGCTATTATTTCAATGGGAACCCCAGAGAAATAATAATTTCAGAAACATATGCTCCTTTAAAAAATAAACTCACATGGGCGCTTTGTCTTCCATCTACCTCACTGTGCTCTCTGACCTGTTTCTCAGTGTCATGATTCTTTGAAGAGTGATGGTAAGCGTGGCAATTCTAAACTGGTTGATCCTCAGCATACAAATACTGAATATGCACTGAATTTCCTTGGTTTGCTTGTTTTTTGTTTGTTTCTTTTGCTTTGTTTCCCAGTTGACTGATCTCTAAAAATATATATACATTGAATCTACAAGAATTTTAAGGTGGTATAAGTTTTTATCAATGCTAAGAGTGAAACCCACCATCCTCTTTTGCTTGGCTGCTTCATCCCTCCCTCTTTCTGATACCACTTTTTATGACCTGGATCCCCGGGGAAACTCTCCAGGTGTTTTGGCTTGGTTAGCTTGAAGTCACACTGGTTCCCTACCTGGTCCACTGTGTGACTGCATGTAGGGTTATTCCGGCACAAGGGTACAGGGTGTGGATGAATAAATAGTGCTACTCCTTTCTTGGGCACTGTTACTTTGTGCCACTTTCAGCCGCTCTGGCTTTACAGTACTTCTATTTAAAAAGCAGCCTTATGCATTTGAATCATTCTGACAAATTGAATATTTAATCCCTCAGTGGATATCTTAATCAAGATGAGGGGCCAGCGCTATGATAAAAGCTTGTGATCCATATTGTGTAAGCAAGTGTGTAGTATTAGATTTCATAGTAGCTTCTCCTTACACAGAGAAACTGAGTTTCTTCTTGTCTGCCTGCAAACCTAATAACTAGTAAATTAGTATGCCTAGCAGATACCAATAGCATAAAGCTGAAGAAAGATATAAAAAATTTTATTATACTTCTAGAAAAAGAGTTTTGGTTGTTGGATACAAACTTGCATCTCAATAATCGCCTTTCTATCTTCTTCTAAAATAATACTACTCATATTTATTATAATCATGTTATAAATGATAAAACCACTGTCACAAGAGGTCTAAACTCAAAAAAGTGTTTGTCTGAATTTGGATGTGAAGTAATCTGGATGTAGGAGTTCTATTCTGCTTGAAAATCTCATTTGAAAACCTTTAAAAGTTTTTGTTTTATTGGTTAACTTTCTACATAATCTCTTTGTTTAGGTCAAGACTTTTTTTTTCTTGTCCTTTCAGTTTCATACGGGATGTTTCCATACAATTGGAAATCTGTTTGGCCTCATACTGAACAATGTTGAACTTGGTGAAAATCGCACAAATAAACTTTGTACAGAATTATCAAACACAGCAATTCAAAACCTCTCATTGAGCCATGTGAAACTTTCCTACATTGGCAAGTCAACTTTCCAGGGACTGCAAGGAACAAATCTTACAATTTTAAACCTTTCCCAAAATTCTCTCTCTGTCATAGAAAATGACTCATTTCAGTGGCTTTCAAGTTTACAGTACTTAAACCTGAAGCTTAATAAAATTAATATATCTTCACGTTTATTTTATGGATTATCCAGCCTCAAATATTTGAATCTCATAAACTCACTTACTGGGAAAATTGAAGATTTTTCTTTTCATTGGCTATACCACCTGGAGTACCTTATAATGGATTATAACAATTTTCCAGGAATTACTGCTAATATGTTCACAGGTCTGAACAACCTGAAATATCTGAGCCTCTGCAACTGCAACATAAACTTACAAAGAATAACTAATAAAACATTTTCATCACTTGCTAATTCTAGCTTACAGGTTCTCAACCTCACAAAAACTAGAATCTCTACAATAGAAAGTGGGGCATTTTCTTCCCTGGGACACCTGAAAATTCTTCATCTTGGTCTCAATGAAATTAGTCAACAGCTTACAGGTCATGAGTTTAAAGGTCTCAATAACTTACAAGACATTTATCTTTCCTATAATAAAAACTTGACTTTGCAAAGTGAATCATTCATTTTTGTTCCAAGTCTTAGAAAACTGATGCTGAGGAAGGTAGGCTGCAGTAATCTGGCACTTTCTCCCTCACCTTTTCATCCTTTACGAAACCTGACTGTCCTGGACATCAGCAATAACAACATAGCAAACATAAAAGAAGACTTGTTTGATGGACTTGACAAACTTGACATCCTGGATTTGCAACACAATAATTTAGCCCGGCTTTGGAAACATGCAAATCCGGGTGGCCCTGTTCTTTTTTTAAAAGGTCTTCCCAATTTGCGAATTCTTAATTTAAAATCAAATGGGTTTGATGAAATTCCAGTTCAGGTTTTCAAGGGTCTGTTTCAATTAAAACTCTTGGATTTAGGATCGAATAATTTGAATTTGTTTCCAGCAACTCTGTTTGATGACCAAGCCTCTCTGAATTCATTGAACCTTCAGAAAAATCTGATAACCTCAGTTGAAGAAAAAGTATTTGGCCCACCTTTCAGGAGCTTGAGAAAACTAGAGATGGATTCCAATCCCTTTGACTGTACCTGTGAAAGCATTGCTTGGTTTGCTGATTGGCTTAATGAGACCCAAGCAGATGTACCTGGACTGAGGTCACAGTACATTTGCAACACCCCACCTAAATATCACGGTAGTCTGGTTTTGTATTTTGATAGCTCAGCTTGCAAAGACAGTGCACCATTTAAACTTCTTTTTGTGGTCTCTACCACTATTGTGACACTACTCATTTTTATTGTCCTTACCATCCATTTTGAAGGGTGGAGGATAGCTTTCTACTGGAATATTTTAGTCAATCGAATGCTTGGTTTTAAAGAATTTGAGAGACAACAGGAACGGTATGATTACGATGCCTACGTTATTCATGCAAGAGAGGACAAGAACTGGGTGTCTAAAAATTTCATGTCTCTGGAAAAAAATAACCACTTTGAAATTAAGTTTTGCTTAGAAGAACGGGACTTTGAAGCAGGTGTATCTGAATTTGAAGCCACAATCAACAGCATAAAAATGAGCAGGAAGACTATTTTTGTTGTGACTGAACACCTCTTACAGGATCCCTGGTGTAAAAAGTGAGTAGGATATAAAATTTTATCTGTAAGGGGAAAAATTTCTTAAGAGATATTTTAACAAGAATATTTTTATTGTAATTTAATAAAAATATAGCATCTAATGGAAAATACCCATGCAAAATCTACTTCAATATATTTACCTAATATACTGTAACTTCAGTTTAATTCCTAAGTTAATAAAGTTAATTGTTTCACACATATGGTAGTGTACATTTGAATATCTAAGTCAATGTTTTAGGCATTTTCTTGTGTGTTTTTTTGTGATTTGTTTGTTTGGGTTTTTGGTTTTGTTGTTTTTGGGGAGTTTTTTTGGTTGGTTGGTTTCTTTTTGTTTTCAGGATTTTTTTGGGGGGAGAGTCTTTTATTTAGTTTTGTTTGGTTCGAGTTTTTTACCAAAAGTCAGGCTGTCACCTTTGCAGATTGCTTCCCTTAAAATTACACATTTGAAGAAGAGCAACAATGAGTGAGACCACTAGCATTGAAAGACGATTTTTGTTTGCCTTTAAATTAGTCTTTTCACCACTCTTATATAGTGGTCTCATAAAGAAAGGGATAGTGCTAAACAAAGCTATATCAAGACAGTGCACTTAGGTTGTATTTTTAGAGCATTAATATACTTTTTATTTGTTAGAGGCAACTAATTTAAGAAAAGTAATAACTATTGTATATCACAAAATAGACATTAAGCCCCCTGTGAAGAACTGTTTGTCTTTCCTTTTTCTTTCACATAAAAGAAAACATTGATTTTTGTCTTATTTTTGCTTCAGTTTCAAGGTGTATCATGCTCTTCAGCAAGCTGTTGAACAAAGTCGGGACTCCATCATACTGATCTTTCTTGATGATATCCAAGATTACAAGTTGTATCATGCACTTCACCTAAGAAGAGGAATGTTCAGATCTCGCTGCATCTTGAACTGGCCAGCCCAGAGAGAACGAGTCAGTGCATTTCATCAGCAATTAGTGACGGCACTTAAATCTAAAAGTAAAATGTGCTGATTTTTGAACTATGGATTTGAATGACGGGGTCATTTTAATGTGTATTTTCTACCACTGGAAAACTAGCAAGCCTTCATGAAGGTCTGAAAAAGTTTGTCATCCTGTAAATTTATGTAAGAGTCACTGTAATTTAAATTTATCTGTTTATATTCGTATTTTTGCTGATATTTTAATTCAGCTGCACTGAAGTGATGTTAAAAGGGATCATAGTGGATAGTCATTTCAATCAGTGTATTAAAAATGTGGTAGGAGTTCTGAAAAGCAGTGAGAATCACTGATGTTGTAGGAAATGATGTAGGGTAGAAAGACAGACTCTCTAAGGGGATATCCAAAAGAAAATGCATTAATGATGAAACAGAAAATCCTTTGTTGAAGGTAGACAAAGAAGAGTGGACACTACTTCTTGCTTTTGAAACATGGGGGATTCAGTGCTCAGACTGGAAAGTTTTCCTTGAGAAACACAGTAACACAGAAAATTACTTCTGTAATTCAAAGAAATACATCAGTTTCAAAGTGAGTTTTAAAACCTTTATGATTATGCCTTCTGGAGGGACTAATACTGGTTGCTATCAAAAAGTGGCTTTCAGGCCGATGAGTCAAATGATTTAATAGATTTGGTATCAGGAAAAAGTTGTTTTGCTCTTCTCTGGTGACATTCAGAGAGCTGGCATTAATACTGAGAGACATTAATACTGAGAGATGTCACCTTGATTCTTAGAATGCACACAGAACTGTATGTGGACCTGTACACAGAACTTGAAATCGATGTGAAGCTTGGCCACAGCACAGCTGCTGCACCTGTATAAAATTAATAAAGGCACAGATATGTTTATAATATAACCAGAAGATGACTTTGTGGAGAAAGTTGTGCTACTGCAATTTCATTACCATAAATTTTGTTACTGGTGAAAAAACAACAAAAACAAATAGTTTTAAATACTATCAGGAACATTATTGTGACTACAGTTAGAGGTAGAGTGGGAAAAAAATTCAAAACTAGATTAATTTCAATTTTTTTGTTTCCTTTTATACAGTTTTGCCTTTGATAGCTAAAAGAAAAATTGTAAAGAAATCAGATAGAATTCTATAGTTTAGTTTCTTGCATATTAATCTAATTTGACCTTTTTCCTGAACATATTTTATGGAAACGTGGGCTAGATGGCAACTGCCAGGTTATTAAAGCTCAAACATATGGGCTAGCTGCTTGATCTGGAGAGAGAGCAAAATGTGCTTTGCAAGTGTGTTAGTAATGTTTAACACTGACTAAAATGCTGTGGTGAGTCTGAGCACAAGTTGTTGTAAATTAGACACAAGGCAGTTGTTTGTATATTTTTGTTAATATTTAATTGCTGCTTCAAGGACTTTTAAAAACTTTGTCAGCTTTTAGTAGGTCTGTGATCCTTCAATAGCTCAGGAATATTTTTAAACTGATTTTCCCCCTAGCATTTCCCTCATCTACTTCAATACCAGTATTGCTACAAGAATGCTCTTTTGCTGTATTAGAAAACAGTTCTATACTTAACATTTTAAACAGCTTTTCTCATTATTTGGTATATGTATAGATGAAAAACATTGGGTTTTAATAGGTTTCCTATGTCCCATGATGATAAAAACCTAAACAAGACAAATAATTAGTGAAATAAGGTTTTTCTTACACTGAAATAGTGAAGGGGTGTCTTTACTTGCTTGGGAAGTCCTGAGTGAAAACTAAACAGGCTTTGCTTACAGCTAAAGTGATAGATGATGATTCCCTAATTACAGTAATAGGATTATCCCCATTGTGATGCTTTCATCTCATCTTTCTGAACTATTCAGGCGAAGTGACAAATTCTTTCTTCATGCTTAGGCCATGAAAGTTGAGGAGGCAAGTTGGTAATTATGGTGTGCCAGGTATGCACCATGACAATTGTTCCTTGTCTTATTTAAAGACTAACATGTGACAGGGCTCCTATCCTAAATCTGCAATGACACATAGCAGCAGAATTTCTCTTTCCACATCAATATAAATTGTTATAAATTGTTTAGAAAATGCTAGTAGTTCACATGGGTATTAAAAATGACATAAAGATGACGAGAATGCATGGAGAAATGCTGCAGTGAAATGTGATACAAGAGGTCAGACTAGATGATCAAATGGTCTTTTCTGACCCTTAGAGCCTGACAAATGACAGCATGTCTAAATTCCTAAAGCTTTTTCTAGTTACTACAAAAGCCCCCAAAATTGGTTTCAGAACAGCAAAAAAAATGTTATGAAAGCTTAATTTTGTAATACAGCTAGCGATACAAACAAGAAGTACTTGGTGATTGGTGAAAAATCCCTTTGAATTATAAACATATGATGAATATACTCTAAACAGTTATTTTAGTACCTAGATTCAGTTTAAAATAATTTACCACAGCAAAAGACATTATAAAGGTTCACAATGAGAATAAGACTAATGTATAAAAAAAGACACAAAAGTAATAATCACAGGGCCAGTGGTAATCATCATTTATACCAGACCTAAAATTTTCCTATAAATTTTCCCTGTTTTTCTGAAAGTTACCTACTTATGCTCTGCTCCTGTAGATTTGTTTGACAATTTTATTGAGAGTAAATAAATGTGTTTACTATGGCTAAGAGTTGTAAGTGCTTTTGGGATTTATAGTCTATGTCTGAGCTGGGCAGTCTCTTTGCAGTGGGCAGCGTCAGATTAAATTATGCTGAATTGCTGATGAGTTGAACAACAAATAAATCAAAAGTAGTTCCAAACTTGTAATATCAAAAATATTATGTAGGACTAAAGAGGAGCCATTTGTATTGAAAGCAAAATATGTAAAGGACTTGAGTGAGGCAGAATGCTCAAGTCTGGAGATTTCGAGTGGAACCTGACTGTTTCTGCAGATCTTGAATGACAAGGTGTTATGGTTTAGGAATAGTATTCCCCAGTTCAGTGTTCTAAATCATGTGCTCACTCCTCCCTCCCCCAGCAGGCTGGAGAGCAGAACTGGAGGCACAAAAGGTAAAGATCACGGGTTGAGGTAAGAACAATTTACTTGAAAAAACAATGAAACAAAAACCAAACAGTAACATGAACAATATTAATTTAATAAAAGAGTGTACAAGAGAGATGGTCGATTCACATATGAGTTCTTACCACATGGAACAGGACCAGAAAGGACCCCTGCCCCTTGTGCTCGATGTGAGGTGATAAAGAATAACCTCAGGGTCCTAGCCATGCCCCTCCTTGCTACTGCAAACATTAACCCTGTCCTGGCCAGAACCAGCACTCAGGGAGTAATGAGCAAATTTCAGACAGTAATGTTCATACATAGAGCTGAGATAAATATACTACCCACAAATTAGCTCAATTACACTACCTTCACTGTGGCTCAGTCAGGGCTTTTTACCACGGTAGGAATAAATCCAGATTGTGCTGCTTTTAGATTTATGTCCATCTATTCCATGAGGTTTTGTCAGAACACATTTATTCAATTTTTTAAGAAAAAGGCCAGGAATATCCCAGTTTCAAATATCAGTCCTCTACTTGGTGTTCTGTGCACTCTATCTGCCAGTTCACTGTACTCCTTGATGTACTAAGAAGACAAGGTAGGGATAAAATTCCTCACTTTGTACCCTTGGTTGTTGTGGACCACCAGCAGCCAACTTAAAATCAATAGTACAACTAGTTGCTTGATGTGTGATCCTGGGTCTCATACATATAAAGCAACTGGTCTAACTTTCGGCCTGTGCTGTTCTTTTGGGCACTCCAAGAGACACTTGACTTGTGGTGTTCTGAGCTGGCACCATGTTTGCCTCGTCCATAATACCAAGCATTACAGTGTTCCCAAACTGCTGCTGGTGTGGTTACATTTCTCTTCACACAGGCAGACAACCCAGTGCTGGAAAGCTAGGGCAAAGTTAATTATTCCCCACTCGTGTACCCCCAGCTGTCTGACTCGTGCCACTGACACTCCCTACCGCTCTCCAAGCTGCCTAGGATGCTTGGGAGCGTTTTTAAACACACGTGGGTTGTTGGCTTCCACACAGCTCCTTTCTGCGTCTGCCTGGCCTGGTGAAAAAGATGTGCTGGGTTGGGTCACTCTCCACTTCTGTCAAGCCATTCCTATGCACACATGTGTGAAGAAGGCCCTGCTGCCCTGGCAGGTGGGCTTCGGTTTTGCCCCTTAATATTAGATGGGGTTCTAACTGGAGGGGAAATCGCAGGCTTTGTTTGCGCGGCTCGCCGGCCGCAGCCGGTTGCTGCCCGGGGCCCCGCAGGCGCGCAGCCTGGTCGGGGCTGCCCTCGGGCCTTCCGCCGGCGCGGAGCTCCCCGCCCGGGGCGGTGGTGCCCGCCGGGCTTTGTTTCGCCTAGCAACGCCTGCCGGGCCGCAGGCAGCGGGCAGTTCCCGCCGCAGGCCGCCGCCCCTCCACAGGGCTTGCGGCGCCGGGAGGGGCTCGCGCCCCGCGCTGCCATGAAGGTGGCGGCTCTGTGGGCGGGCGCCCTCCTCTCCAGGCTGCGCCGCGCCCCGCCGGGCCCCAGCCCGCGCCCGGCCCCCGGCGCCACCGACAAGGAGCCCGGGGCGCGGGCGGAGGCAGAGGGGCTGCTGGTCATCACCCCGCCCGACATCGGGGAGGAGGCGGAGGCCGAGGGCGACCAGGCGGCCGGCATCCCGCGGCACCCCGCGTGAGTGAGCGCCCCGCAAACCTTGGGGTACGGGGGAGGTGTGTGCCCCGCACTCCTGTGGCTTCCTTCCACCTGTCTTTTTCTGCCTCTGGGTGTCCTGAGAGGTACCGAACATCTCTCCGTGGGCAGGGTTTTCCTTCCCCCGGCAGTACGCCAGAGGCGGTGAAGCGCACCTTCACGGGCAGGAGCGATGGCTCGCACGGCGAGCGGCGTGTGTGCGGCGCCGTAAGGAACCAAGAGCTGGAAAACCCTCGGGGATCCGCCTGGAAGGGGACGGGAGTCAGAGCCCGGCCCCGCACTGCCGGAGGAGAACTGTCCCGTGCCCACCTCGGGATGCGCAGGGAGAGAAGCCGAGGTGCAGGGGGCGCGCAGGGGATGGTGAGCTTGGGTTGGTATCGTAAAGGTTCCTCACGTAGGTGTGTGAGTGGTATAAAGTTATGTCCTCGAGCTGCTACTTCCCATGAAAGCGAGACATTTCAGTCACTGCCTAGCGGATTCGGAAGTGCCAGTAACAGGTGTGATACTTGGTTTGGATGCTTCTGTGTTTAATTTTCAAGTCTCACCATGAAACGTTTAGGGTTTTCTGCAGATAAAAGAAGTCTGCTAAATAGGTGTGCTTCCATTTGGTGATGTTTTGCTACAGCAAAAGTATACTGAAATGTTTTCATAGCCTATTTAAAACAGTTGTACAGTTGTGTTACTGTATAGGTGGAATTTTTCTTAGTATTACAAAAAAAGGGAATTTTTTTTACAGTGTATGTATTTTATGAACATCTGTAATTGCTGCTTCTGTAGTACTAAACTGTGCTCGTCTTTATTACTGGCAATCAGAATAGTAATATTTTGTTAGGTGTTGATAGGAATGAATGTATATTTAAGTTTTTAACTTTTTAGGACAGAAATCTCTTAGAACGCTTAAATTTTCAGATGGATTTTGGAACGTCTGCTTTAAGTTTGGTTTCCATGTAGCATAATATTTAAAGTAAGAGCACAAATCCTCCCTTGTGTACTTCTTTTATTTCCCCCTATTCCAATCTAGAGCTTTTAATTTTGTTTCCAAATATATTGTAAGCTCTTTCAGGCTTAAACTTTTACTGTATTTGTGTAAAATAGTAGCCTTTTGTAAATAGAGAGGTTAATCTGGTTTTATGTGTAGTAACAAGAGTTCTGTTTATAAGATGTTTTGTGCTTTATATAAACAATGCCAGAACAAATCAGTGTTATGTCCCTGTAATTTCCCCCTAGCTGCTGATTTTTTCAGTACAAAAAATAAAGCCTAGTAAAATGTCTATGACTTTTATAATTAAAATCATTAAAGAATGGAATCCACTCTTAAACTGATTATATTAGGATGAAGAATAAACTCTATTTTTTTAAAACTGTGTCCAGCAAAATACTCATTTTGGCTTGCTATTTAACCACTTCTAATTGACATCACCTAATTATCCCCTGACTTATACTTTTGTATGCATAGTGGCATTTCAAATATTTTATTCATAGCAGTAAAGATTATACTGTTAAGGTATTGTCTGTCTTCAAAAAAACCAAAACCAAACCAGAAAGAGGTAGAAGAAGGAATAAGATACATCACTTTGACAAGGAAAGTTTATACCTCCACATTAGCATTTTTTTAATTAGATGGTTTCACTTAAGCTTTTAGAAGATGCATCGTAATTAAATATTGAAAACCTTAGTGTTCCTTGCTTAGCGTTGAGATTAGAATTTGTGAGTTACAGAATATGATAATATATTATTGATAGTTATACACAGGAAGCTTTTGCTTCCCTAAATAAAGTTCCTTCATGACAAGTTTTATTGCTGTTTAAAATGATTTGGAAGACATCAATGACCAGTGTATTTTCATTAATAGCACTCTATGAATAATTGGTTAATAAAGGATCCATTTTATGTCTTTGTATTTTTTTCTGAAGTATGGACAAGTTGATAGCAATGACAGTACATGGAGAGTGAAAAGTACTGAAAATCTGTCACTGATTTCTGTCTACCATTCCCAGATATATTAAATTTTCTGATTTCCACAACTACCAGCAACTTGTCCTAATAGTGCATAGGGCTAAACTATGGCAGTACTTTGTGAGATTTTACATTCACTATTTATTTACATAGCAACTTCATGTTGTTTTAACCAAATTGAAGGAGGATTTATGATGAATAAATGTTTTTTTTTTTTTTTTCATAATGGAGAAAAGAATTCACAGTTTTTACTCTTATTTGAAAGAAAATATATTCAGCTATAAAAAAACATGACTTCTTATCCTTGAGAGGATAAGAAGATGCCTTATGCTACATTTACAACAATATGTTAATGTACCAAGATACATAGATTCCTTTTTAAAGAAACTTTATTATTTCTGTCTTTGAATGTTGCAATAGGTAGGTGAGATGACAACCCCTACCTAGTCTAAAGATAAACTGGGAAAAGCTTAAGTTACATTGTTTAGGGGTGGGTAATATTTTGTAGAAACTGATTTTACTGCTCCCTATTATCAGAATGGTTCTGACACATGGGAAAAAATGTTTGTGAACTTGATATTAGAAGTGTAGCTTTATCTGTGTGTACAAATACCATGATCTTTTGTCAACTTTTATTTCTCAAGGCTCAAACTTTGGGCTTCAAAATTATTAACTTTGAAAATGGGGATATAAGTAAGCTGATGAGCTTGCAGAAGAGGGTGGAAACTGGTTCCCTGTCTCCTGTTTTACTCATTAACAGCAATAGTTCTCTTTCACACTGTAACACATACTAACCTAGGTAGGGCACTGTAGTGTTACTAAGCTGGTCACTTCTCTTATTGTACTGATCTAAAAGTGTAAATATAGTAATGTGGTGGTTTGTGGTGGTCTACTTTTTCATTGCAGTTAAGTGTA